ATGTCCCTGCAGGTGTGTGTACCTATGTGTGCGAGGTGCGGGCATGTGGGTGTGTGCATTGGTGTGCCTCAGGGTGTGGTGTGGGTGTGTGCATGTGAGCCCATGTGACAACCCAGGGCTGCGGGGTGGGGGCTTCCTCCCACTGGCCCGAGTGGCACCTGGAAAGTCACCTCCCGCTGCTCGCCAAGGTCCGTCTTGTTGCCGACCAGCATCACCACGCCCTCCCCTGGGTGGAGCTCCTTCTCCAGGTCTGCCAGCCACTGCCGGGCCTTGTGGAAGGAGTCCTGGAGGAGAGAGGGCTGTCGGTGGGCCTGTGGTGGCCTCTGGTCCAGGGCGGCAGAGCAGGCCTGGCCCAGGCTGCSGATGTCCCAGGATGCCGTGGGCAATCCCAGCCCTGCAGGGCTTCCCAGTTCCTCCAAGGTGGGTGGCCGGCCTGCTCCCACCCAGGCTGGTGTCTGCAGCCAGCAGCCAGCTGCAGGGGCCCAGGGACGGGGACACAGGGTGTTTGGGCCAGGGGCCTCCACCCCTGGAACATTTTGTGCAGGAGAGTAGGGGGCGTCCACCACTCCAAACCCTGCTCCTAACTGCAATATCCCAAAGACCAGGTAAGGAGTCTCCACCTGGCCCCTGTAGCCCCTCCTGCCCCCCGCGAGGAGGGTGGAGGCCCTGCTTTCCTCACTGCGGGGCCACTGCACTGCCCACCCTCTCTGGATGCCAYCCTGCTCTCTCACCCAGGCCCCTCTCACCTTCCCCCAGGCCCACTGCCCCCCAGCATGGCTAGTTCCTACCTCCCAGGTTGGGCCTGCAGCCCCCCTCCCTCCCATCTCCACGGTCTCTGTGGGGGGCTGTGTCTGTAACAGCCCCCCATCTCAGCGCACTAGTGAGTGTGGAAGACACTGCCCTGCGTGGGGCCTGCTGGGCCAATCATGGAAGAGCAGAGGCAAGTGCAGGGTCAGGGGAGTCAGGTGGCGAGGGCGCGTGGACGTGGCCTCTGTACTTGTGATTGTACCATAGACTGTGGGGCCAGCCCAGCACGAGTCCTTCAGAAGATGCTGCACTGCCTGGGAGACCAGGGTGGACCAGGGTGGACCCGGAGAGCCCGGGGCGTGCCTCGGGCAGCCCTACCTTCCTGGTGATGTCGTACACCAGCAGCGCGGCATTGGCGCCCCTGAAGTAGAGGTGGCAGACGCTGTGGTACTTCTCCTGGCCAGCCGTGTCCCAGATCTCAAGYTTCAGAGACGAGGCTCCCAAATCCACCACCTTTGTGAAGAACGCACCTGGAACAGGGCAGGCGGGTGCTCCCTGAGGGGAGGGGGCTCTCACTGGGATCCAGACAGCTCTGTCGGTGACCAGTCAGCAAGGCTGGCCACGTGCTGTGCAGGAGCTCCTGACCAAGCCCAGAGCCACCTGTCAGTGCACCCGGTGCTTGGTAGATTCCCAGAAGCTCTGGGCCGAGGGTGCCCRCTCAAGGACCCAACTCCAGGCTCTGAATGGCGCAATTTGAAAGAGGTGTCCCATGACCAAGAACCCCACACAGCTCCGCTCCCAGCTTTGCAGCGGAGCTCTGGGGACCCTGGAGCCCCTGCACCTAGGGCCACTCTGCTCCCCTGCCTGTCCTGCAGGGAGGCCCTCAGATCCCACCATCAGCTGGCCTCGCCAGCCTTCCCATCACCACTGGGTACCAGCCGCCCCTCTGCTGCCCCTACTGGGTGTCCCTTCACTTCACCTAGAAAACTCTCCAAGTCTGCAGAGGTCACCAGTCCTCAGGGGAGCTAGGGATGTCCTGCTGCAGCCTCTGGGAACCCTGCACACACCCAGAGGCCCACGGAGCCTGGTGTTCTCTGCTCCCAGGGGAACAGGGAGGCCRTGGAGGCAGGACTATCTTACTCCCGCACCTACTTAATCATGGCATGAAGATCTACTTGCACATACTGGGCTCTCTGTGTTTAAGTTGAAGACTTTTTTCCCAAGCCTTCCAAGGTGATGTGATTTTAAAATAGTCATTTAACAGCAGCCAAATGTTTTGTGCCATAGTGTGTGGCTTGTGGGGRGATCTAGAGGGGAAGAGTGAGGAGGGGGAGATGTCAGGGCATGAAGGGGTCAGCAGAGACCAACAGGCTCCTGCCAGCACCCTGGCCACCCACCCAGATCCAGGGTGGGAGTGGAGCYCATTGGAGAGATTCTGGCAGCCACATGTTCAAAATCAAAACTTCCACTCCAAGGACAGCGTGTGAGTGTCCTAGGGCTGCAGTAACCAATGGCCACAAACTGTGTGGCTTTAAACAAAGCAGATTTATTCTTCCAGTTCTGGGGGGCAGGGTCTGCATCTTCTGGGGAATTRAGGGTGAAGCCATTCCCTGCCTGTGTTCAGCTGTGGGGGTGGCCAGCCTTCCTCGGTGCTCCCTGACTTCTAGACACATCACCCCAACCTGTCTCCAGTACACATGGCCTTCCCTCTGTGTCCCTGGGTTCTCTCCTCTTTCTACAAGGACACCAGGCACTGGACTCAGGGACCATCCTAAGTCCAGGAAAAGCTCATCTCAACTCATAACGTCTCAAAGACCCTAAGTCCAGTAAGGTCACACTCCCAGGCTGTGGGGTGAGGACTTGGTGATATCTCTAGGGGACACAGTTCCACCACAGACAGAGCCCAGGGCTGAACAGAGACTTCCAGTGTGGAGCAGGAAGATCCTGATTCTCTCCTGGAGAATGGAGCTGGGGTAGGTCCTCCAGAGAAGCAGCTCTAAGCTCTTCCGCCCACTYGTCCACATTTTCCTGCAGGCCATGGACTTGAGATTAGACTAACGAGTTCAGTCAAGCAGCGGCCCTCGTCTGGACAGCTGCAGCTCACACAGGCCACTGTCATGCCTGAACACGAACCGCCGGCACAGCAGGCTCCCCTTCGTGGGCCCTGGGTGTGTCGAACAGCTGTGAGGACCTAGGCAACTTGCTCCAACTCCCCACGTCTCAGTTTGCTTTTCTCAAAGGCAAGCAAATGGTACCCACTGCCCAGGTGGCTATAGAACTGCATGAGAAGACGGGGGCACCGGTTCTGGTGCATYGACTTCTACTTCCTCTTCCTGTCTTCTTGGCTCTCCCTGGAGTCATCACCCAGCATCCTCACCTTTCACCCACACCCTGTCTGTCTGTGCACCACCAGGTCAGATCACATATCTGATTTTGAACTTGCTGCATTTAGAAGTTGTCACAGCCAGGCACAGGTGGACATAAAGCTCAGGTTCAYGTCTTCCATTTACCAACCTTAGCTGCTCAGCTTCTTCTTTTCCACTTTAAAAATGGTGCCCAAGAGTTGTGTTTAGATGGGTGCAAAACCCGGACAAATTTCCAAGGAGTGCAATCTAAGCAGTGGTGGCACCAGGTGGGTGTTTGGATGCTCACTGAGCCCAGAATGACGTCTTCCCTGGAGACGGGAGGAAAGCGCTATCACTCCAGCCCTGCTTTGCCCTCACACCCCAGGCCAGGCACCAGCCAAGGSACGTGCAAGCTGGCCGAGCGTGGAGGGGACATCCAATCTCAAACCTGCCTCCTGAGCCTAGTGTTTGGGCACATCCTTGGGACTGAGGGGTGATGAAGGTGTGGGGAAGGCGATGGGGGGAAGCAGTGGTCTCCTGGTGTGAGCCAGCTCCATGGCTCTTGGAGAAGGTGTTTTCTAAACATGGCAGTGTTCGCATGACCTGAAGGTACAGCTTGGGGCCTCCTGACATCAAGTCCCTGTCAGACACCGGTGCTGGCCCAAGTGAAGAGTTGGTGTTTTTGACAAAAGTCACCTTGGAGTCCCTGAAATGTAACCTAGGCAGCCATTACCGTCACGACCCCCAGGCCCAAGCGGTGCTCCACAGCAAAGCTAGTGGGAGACTCAAGATGTTGTGTGGCCTCCAAAATCTGTGATTTTTAAAGTCAACTGAAGAAGGGAAGCCACCAAAAGCAGGTGAAGCTACAGGGCCTAGTGAGGTTCTCCCTCCCTTCAGAGGCCTGTCAGGCGGGTTCCATTGCAGRTGTCTGAGGCCACCTGGGCCTTGGGGGCTTGCTGCAGCCCAGGAGAGAGCACAGAGGTACCACCTTCTGCTTTCAAATCGCCATCGACTCCGTTTTCTACATCTGCACAGCTAAAGCCAAACGTGATTGAAAAATACATTCCTGGGGCTGGGGATGTGGCTCAAGCGGTAGCACCACAAAAATAAATGAGTAAATTTCTAAGAAACCCAGACACTCTTGGAGGTTTCACCTGAAATGATATTAGGTGTAAGGCAGGCCATGTGGGGCCAGAAGGAGCCAAGAGCCGGGAATCTTTTTTTTTTTTTTTTTTTTTTGGAGTCTCTAGAATCTGCTCGTCCAGATAACACGGTGGCATGGTATTAATGAGCTGTAAGGTGACCTGGGGCCACCTGGGGCCATGTCTCACCATGGCCCATAGAGGTACAAGCCAGTTTCCTCCTCCTTTGCCTGCTTCTATAAGCCCCCGTGGACACTGAACAACAGGACAGGAATTCAGAGTGCAGCGAGGGGATGCACTCTAACTTGTGTTCCATCACCCCAAATGGACTGTGCCTGAACTCAATTTTAATGTCATTAAAGTGTTTTGGCTTTGTTACAGAATCTGCTCATTTGAATGCTCTCTGTAGTGCTCGCCAGTTAGTAGAAATTTTCACCTGCGTAGAAGGTGAAGCCTGAAACGCACATCTCTTCAGGGTCCAAGCACATCAGCAGAGTGCTGAGTTCCACAGGGAAGTGAGCTGGTCACATCAGATGTGTTCTGCACTCATTTGTCACCGTCCCCTTGGTGTATAAAGCCCAGTGGGCCTGGGGGAAGCTTGAGGCACCTCCAGGACAGCCCCTGCAGCCAGGGAAGTAGGCCAGAATGCCTCCCGCCTGGGCCAATGGGACTCGGGATGGGGTGGTCGCCRGGGAGCGCTGGGTGGTCCCAGCCCATCCTGGCCAGTGGCTACTCCTGCCCAGGGCAGCCTGCCCCCTCCGTCACGCCCTCTCCTGTGGCGGGACTGATCCTCTGTGGCTGGGGTATCAGGAGATAAAGGGGAGATGGGCTGGTGGCCCCTGGGAGACCCCGCTCTGGACAGTCCTGCTCCTCTGGACAGCCCTTTGGCTTCTCAGCTTTGGGGACTGTTTGTCTGTCACCTCTCCTCCTTTTCCTTGAGGTGGGCCACGTCTTTCCCAGGGATGGCCAGGGAGCCCTGTCCTGAAGCTCTGCAGAACCACTCAGTGAGGGACCCAGGGACATGTCAATCTCCCAAAGGACCCTGGAGCTGGCCCTGTCCTGAAGTGGCCCCACCTGGGACACCACAGGCCCTGGTCCCATGCTTGCTCTGGGGACGAGGACAGCACCCACGGTCACCAGAGAGACACACTGCCTGGCTCTGCAGTCCTCACCCTCACTGATAAAAGCCACACGTGAACAAAGGCTCTGCCCAGCACAGGACCCCTCCCCAAACCAGAGGCTACAGGGGTCWCGTCACTCCATCTCCTCCCCTGAGAAGCGGGAAAACACTCTTAGCAATAATAAAATAATAGGAACAATATCAAACCTCACAGAGTAAGACMAACATAACATACAAAGGATACAATATCTGTTTACATTATAATGTGACCATTATAATAATGTGGCAACTTCCAAGGACAGCCGGAGCATGTGCAGTATCTATCCCGAGTCTAAAGCCTGTGGAGACTTGCATGACTCAGACACTAGGACAGAATCCAGGCCACTGTCCCCACAGGAACACTGTTCTTGCGTCCTAGAGACRGGGCTCCACCTGGTGTATAAAGGTGAACAGGGAACTGCCATGCCCAGCGAGCAGGGTGGTCGCAGGTTGACCTAATCTGGATGTCCTCTGCCTCCCTTCTAGACGATATCCCACAGGGACAACAGTATGACAAAGGCCACAGCACCACAGGCACAGTCCTGCCCAGATAAGAGGTTCTTCCCTCCAGAGAGACAAACCCAGGCCTGGGGGAGGGGACAGTCCACTGGAGGATGGCCCCAAGGGCTGGGGAGGGTACAGTCCACTGGAGGATGGCCCCAAGGGCTGGGGAGGGGACAGTCCACTGGAGGATGGCCCCAAGGGCTGGGGAGGGGACAGTCCACTGGAGGATGGCCCCAAGGGCTGGGGAGGGGACAGTCCACTGGAGGATGGCCCCAAGGGCTGGGGAGGGGACAGTCCACTGGAGGATGGCCCCAAGGGCTGGGGAGGGGACAGTCCACTGGAAGATGGCCCCAAGGGCTGGGGAGGGGACTAGAAATAGGGGCCACCCAGGCGTGCCCCCTGCAGCTCAGGCCTGGACCGTGAGCCAAGACCTCTCAAAGGGCCCAGCCCGTGTCCACCCTGCTGACGCTGGGTGTCCCCCTAAAGAGAAGGTGAACCAGGGACAGGGAGGGCCAGCAGAGGCAGACTCCTGGCCCGGGCTGCCCAGGAGCAGGGCGGTAAGGTGATGGCTGAACCAGGCCTGCGACCCCCACACACAAGGCCTTCAGATTAGGAGTTTTTCCTTAAAAGAGGAAAAAGTCCCCAAGAGGRTAGGTCTAAGAGGACACCAAATAACCTACAATGTTGTGAGAAGCTGTGGGTCAGGGCTCAGTCTGGAGTTTTGTTTCTCCAGGGCACAGGGTGAAATAAAGTTTGTGGTTCTTTCCGAGTGCTGCTGGCTGCTTCTCGACCGTCTGTTTCCCTGACAGCAAGCCTCACCCCACTGTCGAGGCTCTGCTCCCTCTCGGTCACCCTGAGGCCCAGKGAGCAGTGTGTGCAGGACCCTCCCGACGCAGGGAGATGGCCCAATCATGCAGCCCCACCCTCCACTCCCTGCAGTCACTGCCCTGTCCTCGTGCACCCTCCATGGGGCCTGCTGCCTCCAGGGTGCTGGACCTGCAGACCGCTAGGCCAGGTCACAAGCCTGTCAACGGCGCTGAAGCAGGTATTTCAACCTTTGTGGGCCACAAGGTCACTGCTGCAACTACTTAGTGCTGCTGCTACTTTAGGATGAACAAAGAAGGAAGCCCGTTGTTCACAGAGCACAGTAACCAGCAGGCACAGCTGTTCCCACAGGTTCCCACGGGCAGGCTGGGCCCGTCTGGCCATGAGCCATCCCCGCAGACCTCGAAATCAGAGCCAATCAAGCTGGCAGGGGCTAGCACCTACTTCCTCCCTCCCACATCACGTCCCTGACCACCCAGGGACATGGCCCTCACCGTCTAGGTTTCGTCCTGTGGTCTCCCATCTCAACTCAGGCCACGCTGCTGTATTCTGAAAGCAAGCCCGAGTCCAATATCTTGGGCGAATGGCGTGGGGGTGTGGGTGTTCTTGCTAACAGAGAGGGGTGCAGCCTGCACAGCTGGCCTGAGTGGACCCCTGAGGCTCYCCTCAGCTCCCTCTAGAGCAGTCCCTTGCTGGTCACTTCCCACCCTTCACCCCACTCATGGCCCTGCGGCCTCCAGGAGCCATGCCCTAGGGACAGGGAAGGGCTCCCACTCTGCCAGTGCCCTGTGCTGCGTTTCGTAGCCGTTCATGTTTGGCACGTCTTCATCCTGCCCTGGAACTCTCCATGCCTAATGCAGGCCAGAGACGGCGTCCACGCTCAGACACTCATCAAGTGACTGAACACAGGAGTGAGAGAAGCCGGTGCTTCCCTGTGGCCGAGTGCCCATCTGAACCGAAGCCCTGCTGCTGAACACACTGTCCCCACCCTAAGCCGCCTTTGGAGAGGACAGGSATAAAGAGCACACTGGATTCTCTATTTCAGTTGGGAACTGGGCATGGCAGCCAGGCAGGATGCGCCCAGAGGAAGTAAAGGGGCCAGCAGCCTGCAGATGCCCTGAGACACTCACCTCTGAGACCGTGAGGGGCCAGCCTCCTAAGACGCCCGAGGGGCCAGCCTCCTAAGACGCCCAGGAGAAGGTCTTCCCTCCTGGCCCCCACCCTCGTGGCCCACAGTCCCTCCCCAATCCAGGCCCGGCTAGGAAACCAAATCCAGGCAGAAACGGAGCCTCTTTGGGGATAAATTAACCAGGGAGTGGGGTTTGCAGGCCAGTCGGGTGGCTCAGTGGGCAGATCCAGGCACGTCCTCTGGGTCGCCCTTCACCAGACCATCTTTCCCCAGAGCTGACCCTGAACCTCCACCCCATGCTGACCCCAGCTGGGCTGGCGCCTGTCTCAGAGGCAGGGCGTGTACCTGCCCTGCTGGATTCTGTTCCGAATGCCTGACCTTGATGGCACCTCAGCTGTCCCCACCCCACGGCTGGTGTGCATGCTGAGCACACTCAACTGGGGCCCAGAACCGCGGGGCTCCAGGGTGCCCACCCAGCCTGCCCCTGTGGGCTTCCCACTCTGCCCTGCACTCACATCCCACAGTTGGCAGGACACTCTTGAAGTCGTCCTTCACGTACCGGAGCACCAGGCTGGACTTGCCCACGGAGCCACTTCCCAGGAGGACCAGCTTGGACACTCGGGGCTGGCCAGGGGCCTCCCTGGGCGGGGTGAGTCCATCTGTCTGCGCCATCCCCTGCAAAGAGCCACAGACTGAGGCAGGCTGGGTGTCTGAGGCCAGATCCCGTCAGCAGGCTCCCCGGGCTGCTCCTGGGGAGCACAGAGCCGGTCAGCGGCGCCCTGGGCGGGCACCTGCCCACTCTGCACCCAGACCCACCTCCCCCGTGTAAGCTGGGCCAGCAGGATCTACTTTGTATCCGTTGTGAGGAGCAAAAGGAGCCGTGCCTGGAGAGTGCCCCTGCAGACGGAGGGCTCAGACCTGACCGGCCAGGACCCTGCGCAGCTATTGGCTGGCACACTTCCTACTTTCCAAAACCTCTCCCTAAAAAGTGCTGTGCTCGGGCCTCACACATTTCAGTCTTTCTGGTTCTCTAGGACCTCGGAACCCAGCTCCAGGCCCTGCAGAAAGCCAGCTCCACAGTCCAAATAGGTACGTGTGAACCTGCACATTTGTCATCTGTAGAAACTTCTGCCCACACACCCAGCAGAGAAGGGTCCCGGCGTGTACCCACACCCACTCCTSCAGTGACCAGGTCTGGCCCAGGGTGGGCCACCCACACCGCCACCCGCCCCRTCAGGCTGAAGCAGTCTCGGTAGGATGGGCGTTCTCTTTCCCTTGCAAGGGGAACCAGGTGTCTGGCAGCATTCCCCCCCAGGTTTCCTGATGCACCGTGTGGCCACTGAACACCTTGCCTGGACCCTGCACAGTGAGACAGGGTCAGGCACACACTGTCCATTGGTAAAAGTGCCTGGTGAGTGTGGCCAGCACACCCCTGAAAGACGCACTGGGTCTGTTCATTTCTGCACTGTTCAGTCATTGAAGACCACTGCGGTGTCTCCAGGGGGTGGCGACGTGGTGACATTCTAATGTCTGTTTCTGATCTGGGCCACTTCTAGAAAGAGAGACATCCCCTAATTCATGTCCACACCACCATGGGGCAGCTGGGCCAGTCTGTGACCTCCTCTCCCTCCATGACCGGGAAGGGCCGGGTGTGACAGGCGGGGGAGCAAAGGCTCAACCCAGACAGGCCCGAATCCCCAGGCCCACAGGCCTGTCCCAGGCAGAAAATGCCTAGACAAGGAAAGAGCCCCGGGGAGAAGTCCCGAGGCCCATCTCAGGGGGATCCTGCCGCAGTCYGGCTGGGCACAAATCACGAGACACTGACGCAGGAACAAACTTTATTTCTGAACTCCACCAGCACACTCCACACACGCTCCCCGGGAACTCTCCCCAACGCCACGCGGCTCCTCCAGGAACCAGCAATGAGAAATATCCCTCCTCCRGCACTTCCCCAACCAATGKGAACTCTYYRGGAATCCCCGTGAGAGCTCAACTGGAACTCAACGGGAACTCYGMAAGAACTCGCTGGTGTCACCTCTCAACCACTACTTCTGGCAAAAATGCCATGCGTCATTCCGACTCGGCTGTGGCCCTCAACATCATCCTTGTGGGATTCACCATGCACTGCGATGTTTCAGAATTTCAGAGAAAAATCAGAAATATAAACTAATTGTTTAAATTTTTCATTCATTCTTTAAAAAAAAAAAAAAAAAAAAAAGCTACGTAGGTATTCCCAGCATGCAGCCATGGCTGAGAAACACAGAACCTTGTTTTCTTCAGGTCTGGTAATAGCATGATAGGTGCTCAGTAAATACCTAAGGGCTGGGTGGAGGGGGAGACAAGGTGGAGCACAGAGGAAGAACGTGTTACCCAGCACCTGTGATTTGAAATGTTTGCCTGAACTGAGGCCATGGCTCAGGGCCTACAGGAGGTCAGAGTGGCTGAGGGAGGAACCAGCTCTGCCTGAGGAAGGCAGCTGTGGGAGCCACCTGATTGAGACAGCGGCCCAGACCTGCCTGGCCACCCTGGAATTTCCTCATTTTTCAGACCCACCACAGCCCAGTGAGGGTCCTCGAAAGGCCCACTCTGCTCACCAGCRCCCACCAAGGAGGCTCTAAGCAGCTCCTTCTGCATACGTCTGACCCACTCTAGATTCAACTCCAAGGTCAAAGTCAAACACCCACGATGAGCCAGGGGAAAGCCTCCCAGAAATCAGCTGGCCTCAGGAACACAAGTCACCTGGCCAGCCAAAGTGCAGACCAGAGTCCAGAGCCTGAGCAGGCCCCAGGAAAGATAAGAAGGCCTCAAAGTTCATCAAGTCCACTGTCAAACAAACCCGGGAGTTCACCTTGCCTTCCCTTAAGCAGGTGAAAACCTCTCTCTGCAACAGTCTCCTCTGGTCTCTCAGCTGCTATCCACTGTGTCCAGCCCCCACACATACTGGTCACCGGAACAGACAAAGTGCCTGCCAGGTGGAGCCTGCACTTCCCCGTTCTGTTCTTGGTTGAAAGACCTGGTTTGATCTGCGTTGATTTGTGAATTATACGTGAYTCCTCTCTCACTGGCTATAACTGCTAACAAGGGCCAGGACTGTGCCCATTGAACATACAGTGGGTGTTCAGCATGYAGCCAGGAGCCGTAAATGGACATTTCTGCCCTGTGGTTTTTATGACAATCACACCTGGAACTTGTCAAGGAGTGGCGGGGGCAACTGCAGAGGGAGACCAAAGGCCACCAGCAGGCACTGCAGGAGCGTCCCAGGGACCACACGCAGGCYACCCTGCACACCGAGCTCAGATAGGGCTGCAGGGTGCAGCCGACAGACCCTCCACCAAGAGGAGCAGGGCAGCCATGCCCCCTAGCCCCACCTGGCCATCTGCACAGAGCCCAYGAGGCTGAGCAAGAAACCTGTGGGACCCGCGTGACCCCGTCCTAGAGCCCAGCAGCTCTCCCAGGACAAGGACGCAGAGAGCAAAGCCCGGCACACTGTTCCAGCTCTGCCCCCTCGCTGGGCACCAGCGTCCTCCAGCCACTGGCAGAGAGCAGCAGTAAGTGCAGTAGTGGTCAGCCTCCCAGGGGGACGGCCAGACTCCCAGCCAAGAGAGGCTCAGCAGCCAGTCCTACTGAGAAACTGCTTCTTCTTTCTTTCTTTCTTCCTGTACTGGGGATTGAGCAAGTTACCACTTTCAAGAATGAAATCTTTTAACTTTCCAGCTCACCCTTGTTTGTTTGTCGTCTGTTTTTTCTTCTGTGTGTATTAACTGGGATGAGCTCAGGGCTCTCTACCACTGAGCTACAGCCTCAATTTTTTTTTTTTTTTAATTTTGAGGCAAGGTCTCACTRAGTTGCCCAGGCTGGCCTTAAACTTGAGCTCCTGCCTCAGTCTCCTAGATAACTGGGATCATGGGAGCACCCTCACCCCACCAATACTTATTTCTTTTATTTTTTTATACCAGGGATTGAACCCAGAGGCACTTAACCACTGAGCCACATCCCCAACCTTTTTATTTTTTATTGTGAGACACGGTCTCTTTAAGTTGCTGAGGCTGACTTTGAACTTGTGATCCTCCTGCCTCAGCATCTTGAGCCACCAAGATTACAGGTGTGTGCCACTGCACCTGATTTAATGCTTGTTTCTTGATAAAGGTACATCAGCCACTCTCTGAGGAGAAAACACCTCACTGATCTGCACTGGGATCTCTATAGGGAGTCCTAACATCCACGGGAGCACATTCCCAAGGACCCAAAGGTGCTCCTCCAGGTTTCTTTGCTATTATTYCCACAGAGTAATAAAATTCATCTTAAAATCCAAGGAAATCTTTGGCCCAAACATGTGTGGATTATCCTGGATAGGTGGAATATGAATGAATGCCCCACTACTGGGACACCAGGTTTGCATTTCTTGGATAAAATACATCTCTGTGCTTAAAAAAAATACTCTTCACCAGGMACAGTGGCACACACCTATAATCCCAGTGACTCGGGAAGCTGAGGCAGGAGGATCACAAGTTCAAGGCCATCCTGGGAAAATTAACAAGACCCTCTCTCAAAAACAAAATAAAAAATAAAATAAAACAGCTGGCATTATGGCTCAGTGGTAGAGCACCCCCTTCTCTCTATATATATTTGGTGCTAGGGACTGAACCCAGTGTGGGTGTATGTGTGTGTTTAAATATAAACATATTGTCAATATGTAAAAAAGGAAACTACCTATAGTCCCACACCCTCAGGTCAACCACCAAGGAAATTGTGCCCATTTGATTTCCCACGCACCTTCAAAGCAAACTGAATCCCACGGTTTTAACATAAAGCATACATCCTGCCTTAAAAAAAACAAAACAGAACCTTAACATAACATCAAAGGCAGTGTCCACGAGCTACCTGTGCTTCAAGGCCATGTGTGTGGTGTCTACACAGCTCCCTACAGCCTCTCACTGGATTTTCACTTGACTTAGCCTCTTTTCTCTGTAATAAGTGAGACTGCAGTAAGCCTTTTCAAGTTGATGGTGTGTGGTCAGCTTTCAACAACGGGAGGTTGGAGCTCTCAGTTCCAAGAGAAAACTGGGGGTCTGACCTCTGACCTGGCTCTGGAAGTTACCGGAGGCCAGGAGTCGGGGTTCCTCTTCCGGTCCTGACTGGGGTGCTGCTTTTCAGGAGCACACCTGCCTTCCACCAAAGGAGAAAGCAGGAGGCCAACCCCAGACTGGTCTTCACTGGGGGCGGGTCTGCTTTCAGGCTGCGGGGGTGCTCCTCCTGTGTCCTCCTCCCCAGGCTGGAGAAGAACCCTGCATAGCTGTCTACRCCTCGATTCCCTCGTGATCAGAACAATGTGGCCACTTAATACAGAAAAGTAAAAGCCAGACCCCGTTAAAAAGAGAGTCCTAATGAGAAAATCTGGCGAGCTCAGAGACGTGACTGTCTGTATTGCTGAGCATCTTGACGTTACCAAAACAGATCCCTTGGAGGGGACAGCCTCTTACAGCAGTTCACACTCAAGGTCTTTAACTGCACACCTTCAGGGCATCCATTCCAGAGAGCCAGCCAGCATCCAAACCAGGACAGCTCTGGTCCCGCGGAACCAAAACCAAGGCCTCTGCTGGTCCCTTTGGTGATGCACACCAGGACGCGGGCACACACAGACACACAGACACTCTGCAAAGCACACACAGACACACAGACACTCTGCMRAGCATGCAGAAGCCCCCGCACAGGCTCACCTGTTTCCCACGGTTGTTCACTCCCGAAAGCCCGAGGTCGTCCCCTGCAGGTCCGGAGGCCCCACCCGTCTCCCTTCCTTCTTCCTCCTGGCCTGGGGAGAGCTCTGCTTCCCTTTCCAGGTGGGCTGGGCGGTGGCTGTGGCAGGACAGGAGGCTCTGCTGTCACCGCAGCCTTGGGCAAGGGGTAGCTGGGGGTCAGGCCCCTTCYCTTCCCTTCCCTTCCCTTCCAAGGCTCCAGGGCAAAGTCCACTCACGGTCATGTGGTCACCTGGGGCAGGGGCAGGCCGGAAGTCACACTCCAGGCCTGCCTCTCCAGTGTCTGAGCTCTGTTCCCCCTGGTTTGAAGGTCTTTCCTGACCCCTCCTCAGAGCTCTCCTGATCCTGTGGCCTTGAACACCCACAGCCCAGGAGAAAAGAGAGCTTTTTGGTCAAATGAACTTTTTCCTCCTACAACCCGCTGCAGCCAGTTGGAGGCGGCCCAGGTAGGCGGTTCAAAGGTTCAGATCTGGGCTTGATGCCCCCAGGAGGTGGCCTCCAAGGAGGCAGAGGGCGGGGCACTGGAGAGACTCTGGAGTAACAGAATAGTCTCTTCCAGAGATTTTCAGCCYCCAGGTGTGGCTGGGGTGGTGAGTTTGGCCAGAGGCCAAGGAAGATAAAAATTGGTCACCTGTGAATGGCAAGCCATAAAATCATCCCGAGAAGCTCCCTTTCTTGATGCACTCACCTGAATCTCACGGGGTTCCCGACACCGGGCACTGGGAAGCAGGCACAGCGGCTCCAGGGTCCCAGGCCCTGCGGGTGGAGCTGCAGCTGGAGGCACCTCTGGGGGCCCTCTGCAGCATCCTGGCAGGACCAGTTTCTCTTCTGGGCCCTGCGGGGTGGTTCTTCTCCAGGACACAATGTCCCTTGAGGTGTGGCCACCTCCCCAGCTGGCCTGGCTGCCTTGGACATTGAGAAGCCCCTGCCATCCATCCTGATCTCCTGCCCCAGACTAGTAACTAAAGGTCTGGGAGCCAGGATTCTCTTGTGTCACTCAGGATAGAGCTGGAACGTAAGGATGCACTTTTCTAACTTTGAGGACAAACTTACGAGTTAAAGATCTTTTTTCTTTTTTTTAAGATAACCTCAACATTTTATTATCTTCGTAACAAAATAATGAAGCTTAGAACAGGATCACTTGGCCCTTTCTCTTCTATCTCCTCCCAGTTGGAAACGCTTGCAGCTCTTAAAATAGCCAGGGTTCTCTAACATCTGCAGTGAGGCTCAGCTCAAGCCTCAGCACCATCTTCTTTGTAGATTTAGAATTTTTCTTATTCGGGCTTAGTCTGCCCACCACAGCCACTGTTTCCTGTCATGACGCCGCCTTCCCGTGCACACAGCGAACCCTTGCTCTTCTTGTTCTGGGTCACTTTGGGGGTTGGTGTTTACCATACTTCTTACAGAACGTCCGGCGCATCTTAGGAACGTTCACTATGTTTGCGGGAGCCTTATCAGCAGGACGAGTTAAAGATCTTGACCATTTATTTATATTATTTGGGGGCGTTGAGGCTGAGCTGGGGCTTCCCACGTGCTAGGCAAGAGCTACACTGAGCTCACGTGTCTGCATCAAGGCAGGGTGACATGGTTATTATGCCCATTGAAACTGGCCTTTTGGGAGAGGTGACTTGCCTCTTTGACCTGATTCTGGAAGGTCGGCAAGGTCTTCAGACTGCTTCTAGGACTTGAGCATGAATGATCCATTTGGACTTTTGGCCTGGCCTGTGCAGGGTCTTAGTCCAGCACATGGCCTTCTTGGAGTTTTTATTTAGCAACATGGATGGTCTTCTCCCATCGTCGTGAGGCAGTTTGGGCACAGGCTGAGAGGAAGACCTGAGCACTAGTTTTGTACAGAAATGCAAAGGGAGAAAGTTGTTGACAGCCAGCTTCTCAGACCCCAAATGGGAGCTGTGTGCCTGCAGCCAGACAAGGGTTGAAAGCCAGGCCTTGCCACGAACACAGCTTTGGAACCTGCCACGCTCGGTCTTGGCTATGGAGCAGTCCACCCACCTTGGTAAGGAAAGTCCAGACCAAGGAGGTGGTGGGCCGCAGGGAGGGGCTGCCAGGCTTCAGCTGGGATGAGGAACAAGGGCAGGAGGCTGCGTTCCCAGAGCTACCAGGCACTTCACGCCATGGCTCTGGGGAGGGGCAGGGGAGGGGCCTCCACAGATTTCAGGAAGACCTGAGGAGCACTGAGGTTGGTACGGATCCCCATGGACATGCCAGTGGTAGCTGAAGTCCCTGGAAGGCCCCCTCGGGCCATCCCTGAGCTGTCCCCAGGGCCCTAGTGACCCTGGGGATCCAAAAATCAGGTCCTGCCACTTGCCCCAAAAACCAGACAGGAAAGGTCATGGGGAAGAGTTGGAAAGGAACAGCGTTGGCTACCCCAGAAGATAATGGGGCCTACATCCTCAGCCCTGTCTTTGAGGCGCTGACAATGACTTCAAGGTCCTGTAGAAAAGGGAATGAGGTTTAGACAAAGAATTTTGCAAAAGAAAATGTGGTCACATTTTCTCATTTTTAATGTTCCTTTTAAATTGAATTCTTGTTTTTATAGTATCTGTCCTTTTTTAAAATTGACAATTTCACTTTACTTTTGGAAATAATAAATTTTCAAACAATAAAAAAAAAAAGAAAAGGGAATGAGGGGCCAGGTGCGGTGGCCATGCCTGTGATTCTAGTGGCTCGGGAGCCTGAGGCAGGAGAATGGCGAGTTCAAAGTCAGCCTCAGCAATGGTGAGGCACTAAAGCAACTCAGTGAGACCCTGTCTGTAAATAAAATACAAAA